GGCTGGAGAAAATCAAAGTCGTTGTTCAGAAACAACGATGTAGCGGGGCGCATCACCTCAGCCGATGTGCGCAGGTGATCCACCTGGCATTTTCGCTCTTTGTAAACAATCAGGCTCTTCATTTCGGTCAAACTTTCCTCCCGAAGATGGGCATGCTATCATAGGCAAGTCAATAGTCGAGTTCATCAGTGATGAACTCGTCGAGTTCGTGATGAATCATCACATCTATTTCGACTCGAAATTTTCGAGGTTCTTTCATAAGCATGCGACGGGAATAGGGAACCACGCATCGTTGGCAGCGCGCTGTATTTCCGTATAGGTTAGGTAGGGCTGATTCCAGCTCTCGCGCAGCTGATTTCTGAAATGACTAGGCTGAGATGCCCGAAGAGGATTTTTGCCTCACATGCTTGGATTTAGCAAGTCTGTTACCGATACAAGCGCGAATCTCTCGGGATCCAGGCCTACCCAAATTGCGCCGCTCAGCATACTGAGCCATATCCGCGAGGGTATAAGGCGGTATTGTGACTCCCATATTCGCCAAGTTGGCGAATATGGCGACGCCAACCTCTCTGTCACCGGCGGTGACTCACTACTGGCTCAGTGGTACTGGGGTGCCCACACGGACCTTATTGATTCTCTGCGTGAATTACCTCAGCTCGAGACAGTTTTTTGTCGCAGTTCTGACACAAGCCAGTTTGGTCATCTGACTGGTCAGGATCCCAACGGCGGCATTGCTGAAACGGCCCTGTCTCCGATGGAACACAAGTGTACTAGCCTGGAGGACTTAAGGTGTCTCATGTGCCGGCCAGTCCCGAACCAGCTTTTGTCGAAAGGTGACTTTCTGGCGTGGTTTCATTCGTGGAAAGGCTGCTTTTCCCTGAGCACAACGTCTAGTGCATACTGAAGACTGAATTGACGCTCATATCGGAATCCGATAATCAGATACTCCCGAAACGCGTTTGATGCCGCGATCTGGAGCTGCTCGAATTTCTGCTCGAATAGGGCTTTGAGTGGTACTGCCACATGATGTGGCAGTGAGTGGTGCTGAAGTGCAGCAATGTCAATCAGCATGCGAATGGACCATGCAGATCATGGACCCCGATGGTTCAATTACATATAGATCCAGGGCAAAAGAGAGAATAAAATTTGTCAGTTACCAAGGATGCTCGGATTATTGGAGCATCCATGAGCGACCAAGCTCGCTCGCCGTCTGGGATCACTTCTGCTGGAGGTGATTCTAGCCTCTTGCGAGACTTCCGAACTGAGGAGAGATTATAGTAGCATTCATCAACAACACGTTGAACGGTGCAATTCGCAGTGTCGGCGATGCGGAGACAAGAGGAGTCCCGACAGATGATGATCATATGATAATCTTGAGTCTGCTTGACCATCTTCCCTTGACGCCCAAGTGACCATTAGGGTGATCATCACCCTTATGGTCAGTCCATTCAAGGGGGGTGCAGGGCAAGCGGCTGAACATATCGCGTGGGAAGTACATACTTATCTCGAATCATCAGCAAATGTGGAACTTGATGAGACCTCTGCCAATCAGAGCTCGAAGCTTCCCACAGTCCTCATCAGACTTCTGGGCCTAGGAAGAATATTATGGAGAATGTCAGTATCCGTCTTCTAAGCTGTGAAGCATCGGTGTAGGGAAAAAAGGACTGGAAGAGGGAACAGAGGATCAGTGACCGTGGCCGTGATTCACCCGTGAAGACCGTACAGCAGTTGCAGGTTAATAGTTCTTGATCGGTGTCCTCATACAGATGATGAGAACCACCGTAGGCTACGGCCCGTAACCACAGTCGTCGAGCGTGGATGCACTAGGCGTCTTGACTGGAGCTAGTGATTTATTGATGGGGTGCTTAGACTGCTGCCCTTCCTCGATGCATCGTGCCATGGTTTCGCAGAGACTCGGCAGAGAGTGGTATCTCGGTGCTCAGAGCACACCATTGACGTGGGGTCCTAAGCACTCAGTCCTACGGTAGGCTTGGGAGATCACGTAACTCGAACAACGCGGGCCTTAGCTGAGATTCGTCTGAGTTGTTACTCGTGAGAAAACATAACACTAGGTCCTCGCGACACAGGGGCGGAGCTCGCTTACTCCTCGTCTATTGATTCATCCAATTGACGCACCAAGCTCTACCCTGTGCCCCCGTTGGATCCCCGGGGTGGACATTTCTCCGTAGAAAAAGACTTTCGTGTATAACTCTCGGAGCTGTTCGCATATTAGAGTTTTTCGATATTTGTGCCAACCACGACACACATGGGAGTCGTTTGACTTATCTGCTACCCTTTTACGCTCGGTAGTTAAGCCAGAAAAGTTCTTCACGCACGCGCACACACCCACGCCAAACGCAAAAGTGTGTTGATAAGTACAGTATTCATGGTTGACAGTCAACCATGAATACTGTATTTATCATATCAAGTCAACCGTTGCGTCAACGGTGTTGACTTGATATCTTGCTCTGTTGCTCTTCTTTGTATAATCTATAGCTGACACCATAATATACTTTATAGCCGTACAACAGTTATTTGAGCTGTATATACCCTATCGTCAGCAGCTCATCTGAATCTTGCGTTCCCCTAGTCCTTCAGGAGAACATCTGCATTGCAACAAGTGCGTGGTAGGAGGATCTGCTCGCTCCTGTTGGCGAGTCTGTTAGCTGCATGGTAGCGATTCAATCGCTGCGAATTACGTATAGCGAGCAATCGCTGCGATTGCTCGCTATACGTAAATCGGCTCCGCTTGGTTATCGTCAGCTATATTTTTGTTGTTGCACGCCTGTGCGGCCCTGCTTGTGCGGGATAGACAGTGTAAGGCGGGCACGAGAGCCTTATCCGTAGCTAACGTGTGCATGCGTCAAACCTTTCGAGGGGTTCTTTTGAGCATTACTGTTGGCACCTCTGCCAACCTCGTCGACAGCAGCTAAGTACTACCTCTCACCCCTATCTGCTTTGTGTTGCCAAAGCCAATAGCATCACGACCCGATCATGACTTCGAGTAAATCCGTCCACAAGTCCCTGTTGTTGCGGTATATGCTCAGCTCGGTTCGCTCGGCACGCAATGCTGCTCCAACTGATGTTGCGCTGTGTGGCGCACATTGTACCGCATAGTGCGCATACGTATACAGTCTCGTAAAAGACCGGAAAACCCCACAATTCCCGTGCTTTCGCTTTCGATTGGTAGGTGAATCGCACCATTCCGGTCGGTAAACCGATCAAAGCCGGACTAAACCGTAAATTTTCTCTC